TTTTTAAACTGATAGGTTTCCGAGTCAATTCCAAGTTAGCGGGTTGACCCAGACTCGACCAGTTTTGTTCAAACGGGTCAAATTCTAAAACCCAAACCTGACCCGTTTGAGAAACAGGTTGACCCTAACCTGAAATTTTCGGGTTGTGTTTGGATCTGGTTTTTGATTCGTGTCAAAATGGGAAAAAGTGAGAGGTTTATACTCCATTAGCATTGCTTTGCTTAATAAAATGCCTTTTAAATAAGCATTAATCTTATCTTACATAACCTTAAGCCATAAACTTTCAAGGAGCTGTTTGGGATATAACTATAGTGTTTTATAAGGTTGATTGTGAAGTTACTATGAAGAAAATAACTTCGCTAATAAGAAAGTAGATCTTAACCATAAAACTTCTTAAAAAGCAATGAAAATTATTCAGCAAAAAAATAATAATCAAACAAAATTATGATTACTATCTCAAGAGCAAAACATCAAGAAAGATGTCCCAAACACCTTAAAGAGTTAATTAGAAGATTTGAATATCATTACAAAGGTTTTGTTCGGTATAGCTTTCTTAGTACTTTCTAAAGCAGCTTTTTAGTATAAAATTTTTCTGAACTAAAAACTTTTGTAATGAAAACTATTTTACGAAGCAATAAGAAAACTGTCCCAAATGAAACCTAAATTTGCTTAAGCAAATGTAATTTATGAGTATTAATTAAGGAAATTGGACAAGCCTGTAAAGACCATTTTGCTCCTAGATTCGTCCGGACGAAGTTCGATCGTCTGGGACGATCGGTACAGGTTGTGCAGGAAAACAGTTCTGGCTGTATGGTTTGTCTGGACGAAAATAGGATCGTCTGGACGAAATTCTTACCGAGAGCAAATCGTACGTGACGATAATTAATTTCGTCTGGACGAAATTTGTCCAGAGCCCAAGTCGTCCGTGACGATAATTAATTTCGTCTGGACGAAATTCGTCCAGAGCATAGATCGTCCGGGACGAAGTTGCGATCGTCCGGTATGATCAGTCTTGATATATATAAAAACGAGATATTTTGAAAAGAAAAAGGACATCAGGGAGAGAGAAAAACGAAGGAAAAGAGGATTTTTGGGCGACTCCGGTCCGTTTTCGTCCGTTGTGGAAGTTAGAGAAGTTGACTGACTCGAGGTAAGGCACATTCCGCCTTTCTCAATTTTCAGAAACGAGATTTTTGACGCATTTTCTGTTCTAGATTTTGTTTCCGTTAGCGAATTTATGGTATTATTTTCTCCTGACGAAGGTTTTACCGCGTAACTTTTGGTATGTCTTTAAGATGATAATTATGCACGTTTTTAGTATTTTCTGGAAGTTTTGTACCGAACATTTTGGATTCTGCGGTGTTTTGATTGAACTGCAAATTATCAGGATGTTGAAAAATGTTTTGTCAGTAAAATGAATGTCTTATAATATTGTTGTGAATGTTCTGTTGTAATTTGGTAAATTTCTAGATCTATGAATTTTGTGTAAATTCCGTATACTGCCATTATGCCGCTGAATTTTCGTACGATTTTTGAAATTCTGAAATGAGATGATTTGAATGAATTGATTATTTGTATGCTATCAGAAGGGAGTTATAAGGGGCCGGAATCCTTTGTGATTCCGTTGTCTGGGTCCGGGAAGGGAGATATAAGGGGAAGTTCTGAAATCTGAAATTCTGTATATCTGTTCTGTTCTGGTGCTATAAGCACAAAAAGGGAGCTATAAGGGGAAGTTCTGGTGCTATATGCACAAAAGGGAGTCATAAGGGGAAGAGGGGAAGTTCCGACATCTGGAAGGAAGTTCTGTTCTGACATTATCTGTTCTGTAAAGCTGTAATGTGATTTTATCTGATTTCTGATTTCTGTACGACTCTGATTATTCCGAATGATTCTGTCTGCTCTGTGACATGAAAGCTTTATGATATCCGATTTGATATGATTTCAGTTTCCGTATTCGATGTTTGATTCTGATTGAACTGTTATCTGTTCTGTCTGTTGTACGATCTCTGTACGATTGTTCGATTTCTGTACGGATACTTTTCTGATATGAGTTTCTGATGATTTTGATTGGTGATTGATGTCTTGCTGAGCTGTTAGCTCATCCTTGTTTTCTGCGTGGTTTTAAGGTTCTGGGAAAGGGGAGGAGGTCTTGGACTAGACGTTCTGAGTCTGATATGTGATTAGGTACTTGATACTTTTGATTTTTGTGCAATCATGGCTTTTCTGTTCTGTTCTGTTCTTTGTCTGAAGCCATGCACTGTATCTGTATATGATTATTTTGATGAAATAAAAGATAGATGAACTGTGCTGTGTTTGGATGTTTATAGTAGCTCTGTGTTTTTCTGTCTGTGTTATATTTGGGAGAAAGTGTTCTGAAGCAAATTCCAAAGCCAGATCCTGGATTTGTTAGCTGTGTCGCGGTCCGATGCGAGCGGGATCCGTCCCGGTCGGGTTGGGTCGTGACAAAGCCAAATTAGGCATGGTTGAAGATGATCTTAAGCAAACTAGACCAAGCCATTTATATGGATGGTGCTTTTTGCATTGCAATTATTAAGGTTTCATTTAGGATGATTTTTTTTATGGCTTTTAAAATAGAATTTTAGTACTAAAACTCTATTTTAAAACATAATAAAAGAGTAGTCCCAAACAAAGCCTAAATTAATCTCTTATTTGTGATTGCCATGATGTTCTTATATTTTCTTAAATATATATATATGCTTATATATTTTCTTTTTTGATTGTAGATCAAAATTTGTGAGCTTTTTTTATGTTGGAAAGTTTATAGAAAAAAGAATATAGCCCTATATGATCATTAATTGCTTGGAGAGCAAAGAGCATGGATAGAATATATTAAATTAGTAACAATATAACATCATAAAACTTTGATACCTCCTCAAAAAATTTGCTTGATCGGGCACGAATCTCGAAGCAAAAGCTAGTTGAAAACTTTAAAAATTAAAATCAAAAGCACCCAAACTCCGATTTCAGCAAGCTTACAGTCAAACTGAGCGTCTCGGAAATACGAACCCAACGACACCAAGTTCAACCCAATCCGAGCCCAAACGAGTCCGAATCAAGGACCCGAAGCCCTGTTGGAAGGTTCAAACCGCAATTTGAGTTACCAAACGGTCTCTGATTTTGACGAGCTTATACTCGAATCGAACGGCTCAACGAGATGAATCCAACGAGCCCAAGATCGCCGAATTCCGACATCTCTAAGACCTTCAAATGTACAACGAACGATGTACAATCGTAGGATTCGATATCGGCCGTTCATTCGACCACTCCCTATTCGCCCTTGATCTCACGCCTATTTACAAGCTATGCCACTCCAGAAAATCTATAAATAGAGCCCTCATTCTTCACAAAAGGGGGGCCCAAGCAAGAAGGGAAGAGAAGAAGAGAAGAGGAGAAGAGAAGGAAGATAAGGAAGAAGCTCCTCCTCGACCACCGACAGAACCTCGCCGGACCACCACAGAAGCTCGCCGGAACCTCGCCGGACCACCACTGGAGCTAGCCGGACCACCACCGGAACCTCGCCGGACCATCGTCGGAGCTTCGTTGCACCATCACTTCAAGGCCCGACGTTCAAGTCCCGACGTTCTGCTGTGCTCAATGCCCGACGTACTGCTGAAGGCCCAACGTTTTGCTCAAGGCCCGACATTCTGCTGAAGGCCCAACGTTCTGCTCAAGGCCCGACGTTCAGGCCCGACGTTCTGCTTAAGGCCAGACTACCAACTAACTCCCGAACTTCCAGGTGACGCTAGGGTACTATCAAGTGACACCGGGTCTAACACCAGATTTCTATCGAACAGTTGCTAACTGTAATCTGATCGCCCTTGGAGGCGAGTCAGCCCTTTGTAATCGACTCAAATTCTAGTGGAATCATTTTCAACTTGGCTAGACCTCGTGGTTTTTCCCCTTTTAAGGGTTTTCCACATAAAAAGTCTTGTTTTCTCTGTCTGTGTGCTGGATATCCGTGCAAAGCTAAGACATATAGTTAAAACTCTATCGCCGCGTATATTCTAGCCCGCAACAAACTTAATATGTTAAGATAATTTTATCTTGCTTGAGCTAAATTAGCTTGTATGGATCCTTTCAAATCTCCTCTATAATATTGATTATTACTTACCAATAAAAAATACTTCATTAGTACATAATTTTATTATTCTTTAATTCTATTTAAAAATTAACTGATCATATTCGAACATTAATCAAATATTTATCGAACAATGATTGAATGATGACCGAACATATTCAATTGACAATCAATATATATATATTGGTGAATAATAATTTTATAAATAAACTAAAATTTGATGTCTTATTTATATATTCAATGAGAATCCAACACTGGCGGAATCAACCATAATTTTTAGGGGGACAAATTTATAAGTAATTGTTGACATATATGTACGGGATTCAATATGTATGGAATTCGATCTGCCCGATCAAGTCGCGGCCTTGCAACTCGGCCTACTATTAGTAGGTCCGGTGACCGGACATAGCTCTACGTTCGGTCACCACTGAGTTACCCGGTATTTGCTCGGTATTTTCTCGGTATTGCTTGGCAATAACAAGGAATACCGCTCTGTGAAGATCAATACCGAGTAATATCGAGTTTTTCTAGAAAAAACTCGGTATTGCTCGGTGTTGCTCGGTATTACTCGGTATTGCTCGGTATTTGTCTTCACATAATGGTATTTCTAGTTATTGCCGAGCAAAATCGACAAATACGTGATTTTGTGCCTGCTATGTGATGCAATTTAGTACCGGCCGAACGTAGCTCTACATTCTTTCATCGGACCAAATAAAAGTTCCTTGCAACTCATACATCAACCATAGTATTACGCATCATCACCATATTTAACAGATTATTTACTCTAAATAAAAAAACTTAGAAAAAAAAAATCACTCAGTCGCCTATTTAGTATTTACCGCTCTATATAAATGCCTACATAACAGCAACCATCCACGACAAGCTCAAGATAATAGAGAAAGAAGCCAGCCTCACATTTCAGAGGCGCCGCCTCGCTAAACGCTCTGCTTCTTCATTACCGCTCCATCATTGTAGCCTCATTAAACGCTCTGCTTCTTCATTATCGCTCCATCATTGTAGCCTCATTAAACGCTCTGCTCTTCATTATGACTCCATCATTGCTAAAAATGTCTTTAAATGTCCGAAGCATTTGATCTTTCTTCTAGCTTCTTCTCATTATCCGGTTTCAGACTGCAATACGCCTTCTTTCTCGTCCTTCATTTCTTCTCATTTTTTCACTGGAAGAAAGAATCCCATCAAAGTTGAAATCGTTCTTTTCTTTTCTATTCTCTTTCGATCCCTGCTTCCACATCCTTCACACCAGAAAGATGTTCGATCAATTGCCTGACTCGGACGGAGAAATAGGGTCCGAGATACTAAACTCTAGCCAGAGCTCAAGTAGCAACAGCTGCGAACGTTGCAGCAGCTTCTCCTCTCGCCTATCCTTCGACGCCTCCGGTCCAGCTCCGCCACCGCCGGACTTACGCTCCAAACCTCACCGATCCTCTGACCGGGCATGGGCTGCGATCCGCTCGCTGGCCGGCAACGAAATAGGCCCTCGCGATTTCCGACTTCTCCGCCAAATCGGAAGCGGCGATATCAGCACTGTCTACCTCTGCCGCCTTCGAGATGATCATTCCGCTTCCTCTTTGTACGCTATGAAGGTTGTTGATAGGCTGTCCCTTGCGAGGAAGAAGAAGCTTGGACGGGCCGACACGGAGCGGCGAATTCTTCGGGAGTTAGATCACCCTTTTTTGCCGATCTTGTACGCCGACTTTGATGCTTCCCCACACTATTCGTGCGTGGTTATGGAGTACTGTGGTGGCGGCAATCTCCACTCTCTCCTGCACCGCATGCCCGGCGGCCGCTTCTCCGTCTCCGCCGCCAGGTATCAATTTCCCTTCGGCAAAAAAGTTTTGATTTTTATGTTCATGATTAAATTAGATTTAAAACTAATACAAATACTAATAGATTCTATTAATAATAGGATTTAATAGATTCGAAGATGTAAAATTTAACATTTAATGTTTTAAATAATATTTAAATAATTTGCATAGTAGCTCCAATTACAGTCAACTTAGATAATTTGGTCACATAAAATGTCAACCTTTTAATGAAGAATTTATTCTATGCGGAGGCCGGACGGACGTAGCTCTATGTTCGAAGACGAATGAGATGTAGTCACGTTTAGCAGTACTAAGCCGCAGACATGATGTATTCTAATTGGTATCCAAACGACATTCGACGTCCTCACAGAATAATTTTTCCTTTCTACGACCGAATTAACAAGGATTCAAATATGCCTAAAAAGATTTAGTTAAAAAATATTATAAATGATATTTTGCATTATATTTAAATGAGAAGTTGACAATATGAAGTGAGATAAATGTTTGATATTATTATTGTATTATCCCTATAAAAAAATTAAATTTTTATTTTTTATTGTTTAAAAATAGAAATAATAATTTTTATTTTTTAAAAATAAAAAAATAAGCATCACAAATTTCAGTGTAAAAAACAGAACCATAATTGATTCTCTGTTCAAAAACTCTTTTTTTTTATTGAAGAAATTTGAATCACTACTTTTTTGTTCTCCAGGTTTTACGCGGCGGAGGTTCTCCTGGCGCTGGAATACCTCCACATGCTCGGCATCATCTACCGCGACCTCAAGCCGGAGAACATCCTCATCAAATCCGACGGCCACATCATGCTCTCCGACTTCGACCTCTCCCTCCACTCCTCCGCCTCCCCCGCCCTCGAGACCGTCAAGCCGACCTCATGCTTCCTCGGCCGCCTCCTCCGGTCCAAGAAAACGGCGCCCGGTCGACTCTTCGTTGCGGAACCGCTCGGTGCTCGATCCAACTCATTCGTCGGGACCCACGAATACGTCTCGCCGGAAGTCGCTGCCGGTCGGGCCCACGGAAGCGCCGTCGACTGGTATGCCTTCGGCATTTTTCTATATGAGCTGCTCTACGGCCGTACGCCCTTTGTGGGGCCAACTAATGAGGCGACTCTCCGTAATATTCTCAACAAGCCGCTCGCATTCCCGCGGCCGGCGGCGGGTGAAGCCGACGGCGCCGACGAGGCGGCAGCGAAAGACCTTATTGCCGGGTTACTCGTTAAGGACCCGGCCGGCCGGCTCGGGTCACGCCGCGGGGCGGCCGAGATAAAGGTTTGCCGTTTCTTTAAGGGGGTTAATTTCGGGTTGATTCGGTCGTGTCGGCCGCCGGTGCTGCCGGTGTTTCGGCGCGCCGCTTCGTGTCGGGAGGCATCGAGGCTGGATCGGTTCGAGGGCTTTTGAGACCGGCTGTCGGGTTTATCCGGTGTACGTGGGTTCCACACTATAATGGACGAACAATTATTAGGTCCGGCGTAGCTCTACATCCAGAGGTCAATAACATGTCACAACGTGCTCGATCCGGACCGGAACCCGGTATTGCTATGTTCGGGTATTGTTAGGTATTGCTCGGTATTGCTAGGTATTGCTTGACAATAACGAGAAATACCGCTCTGTCAATATCAATGCCTAGCAATACCGAGCAATGCCTAGCAAAATTGGGGTATTGCAAGGTATTGCTAGGTATTGCTCGGTATTGTCAGGTATTGATCTTGACAAAATGGTATTTCACGTTCTTACTGAGCAATATCGAGCAGTACCTAGCAATAACCCGATTTGCACAAATCAACCAATACATAGCAATCCCGGGACCGGTCTGGGTCGTCGGGCCGCGCGGTAAAGAGTAAGAGCATGCTACACCATTTTACTGGCGTCCGAACGTAGAGCTACCTCAGGACACCGGACCTAATAAAAATTCGTAATGGACACACCGATGGGCTGGGTTGGAACATGGAACCGTTTGTAACTTGCTTTTTCTTTTTATGGGTTTTGTACAATTTAAAAGCCCATTTATCTAAGCTTTTAAAGCTCATTATCCACTTGGGCTATCTCAGAATTAAGCTAGGTCCATTTATGTTCATGGAAAAGATATTGAAATTCTCAATATAAATTTGAGAAATTTACATCCCTAACACTTAAAATATTAATTTATTTACATATATATTTAATATATATTTTTTTATTCACATAACATTTAAAATTTTAAATAACAACAAAAATTTCACTTGTATTCCTATTTCAACTTCGCTTGCCTTCAATCTCGTGGTTGCACTTTCCAACTAGTTCTTGGTACTCTTGTTTCATCACCACATTCATCCATCGTCAATCTTGATGTTGATCATATCGTCATTTTCGCATGTCATTGATCTCGTCAATGCCCTTATCATGTAATTGATCTTGTCAAATGCCCTTACGAACAAGATCATGAGGCTCATAACTACGGGTGTCAATTCAGGTCAACGGGTTGGGTTCGAGTTGAACCCGGAATTGACCCGGCATTATTCGGGTCAACCCGAATCCGACCCGTTTTTAAAAATGGGTCAAGTTTCCAGACCCGAACCCGACCCGATTCTGGTCCTGGTCAATCCGACCCGACACGAATGATCCGAAGTTGACCTAAAATTGCTAATTTTTTGGGTCAAAATCGAGTCAATCTTCGATTTTCAGGTCAAAATTGGGTCAATCTCGGGTTTTCGAGTCAAATAGAAGTTTTCGTGTCAATTTTGGATCATTTTCGGGTCAATTTCTAGTTGTTGGGTCAACTCGAACCCGACCCGTTTCGGGTCGGGTTGACCCTAACCCGGATTTTTCCTGTTCGGGTTCGGGTCGTGTCAAAAATTGACACCCCTACTCATAACGAGATCCTACCACAACTCCCACGTATATTCTTCGTTGTCGATCGCCACATGCCCCTTCTTTTATGTTTTGTGTATCGATTTTTGCCAGCCTCGATAACATTAATTGCATAATACATTTAGTAAATAGTAAAATTTAAGCATTAAAAACATAAATAAAAAAAAAATAACTTAATGTGCTATGATTAAAAATTGCTTAATTTTTAGTCAATCAAAATTAACTCAAATATATTTGAATCAAGAACCAAGAGAGTGCCAATTTTTAATTCACATTTAGTGTTAAGATTCTCCCCCGAGGATAGGAAGCAAAACTAATTTAGAGTTTACGTTTTATGTGCTTCATGCTTTTTATTGTAGGTTTTTCAAACATAAATTTTTTGAAAGCAGAGAAAAAAATAGTAGTTAAAAGTTGTCTCAAACGAAGTCTAAGAACATCTTACTGCTTCTTAATAAAAAAATTATCCCTAACAATATAAATTTCAACCAACATCTTAGTTTTACATACCATAATTGGGCAAAAACTAATAAGCATGACTTCTCTATGGCACAAATATATATATTTATATTTATAGGTCTATACATATTATTAAAATTCTATGAGAATTTGCAATTAATGATATCTACTTCATTCTAGAATTTGATAAAAGTGTAGCAATTTCTTTTACAATTTTTTTTCCATGTTTTTTTAATAAACTTTCTTTTTTGCAATTAATTATATTTATAGAATTTCTTGAGAACTCTTTAATTTAAAATCATCAAAATTTGCATCCGCTAAAAAAAGAAATCTTACTATATATCATCATTTAGAAGAAATATGCTAAAAAAATTGAAAAATATGCTAAAAAAACTATTTTAAATAAAATTAACCCAAATGATAATATGTTATATTTACAGATTGCTCATTAAACTCGCAAATTTAAAATTCAATTAATCTCTAATAATCCTTGTTATTTTCTTAAGTGGCTTCTAATATAACTTGAACATTTTAGAGAGAATTTTAGAGTACTGTCTATTAGTTTTAGAGTAAGACATTGGCTTCGTTTGGGAAAAGCTTTTTTTGCTACTTTATAAAACTGTTTTTTAGTCAAAATTTTTTTGTACTAAAAAATCATTTTAGAAAGTAACAAAGAAGCCGCCCCAATCAAAACTTTTGTTTGGGACAGTTTTTTTTATTGCTTTCAATAAGCAACTTTTTATTACTATTACAAAAATTTTTGTAGTTAAAAGTTATTTTAGAAAACATTAACAAAATTATCCCAAATAAGGCCTAAAATAGATGCCCCTAGCTCGTATGAAAAAGTGTAGCTTTAAAATTAAGAATATTAGTATAAACTTGAATTGGAATGGTGACGCACAATGAAGCAGAATGCGAAGCTCGGATTGTTGGAATAGAGGTAAAATATTATAATTATATAACCGTATAATTTATAGTGGGCTGTATTCATATTGGGAATGAAAATCATTTAGAATTCAATGTGATGAGGATGTTTCACCAAATCAACAATAGTTTGGAATGGTCAGATATTTCTCAATGATGGTAGAATGTGAGTAAAAGAATGAAAATAAAAAGTTAGGAGAAAAAAAAAAGAGTTTCATAAGAAAAAGTTAGAGAAAATCAAATGGAAAGAGACTAAGGGGTTGTTTGCTTAGCTGCATTTTAAGTGTTAAGTAAACGCAGGAGTTTCAAAATTTTAGGCATATGGAAGGCTGTGTTTCATATGTAATATTTTGTGGTAGCGCGTTTCGAAATCATTCTCTAGTTCATTTTGAGCGTATTTGACATTCGCTTGTTTTAAAAGAATTTCAGCTTGAGTAAAAATGATGTGGTTGGTCGCGATCATAGTTTGCAGCTCATTTGGGTAAAAAGAATTTCAGCTTGGTTACGCTTTTTATCTGAATATGCCTTCATTTGGGACAGCTTTCTAACTGCTTTCTAAAATGACTTTCTATTACAAAAATTTCTAATTCAATAAAATTTTGTACTAGAAACTCGTTTTAGAAAAAGCTATCCCAAACGAAGCTTATATTTTCAAGCTAATAATCTAGTCATATTTTTAACTAGTCTTTGAATCATCCTACTTGTTCATTAAACTCACTTTATTCTAATTACATGTTGAACATTGGGTATAGATGCCAACTCCAAACTTCATTACTCTAAATTAGTTTACCTCTTCTTGCATATCTGCTATCCAAAGCTCAAAATCCAATGTCTCCTTAATATTCATCGTAGGAGAGGTATTAGGCTTCTTTTCTTTCAAAATCTTGTAGATAATCTTCTTGATAATTGATCTAGTATTCACCCCATTGATCACATGCTAGTTTTGCAGAAATTTATTTTGGTAACTTAAACCCACTAAAGTTTTGTTTGGGATGACTTTTTTACTGCTTCTTAAAGCAACTTTTTAGTAAAAAATTAAAATTTTTATACTAAAAAATTGCTTTAAGCAACAGTAAGAAAGCTGCCCAAATGAAGCTAAATCTAGTTCTAGCTATCTCTAATAGAGTTTTATTTTTTTCTCCCAACTATACTATGCTGTTGTGATGTCCTAGGGGCAGCAAAATTATGCTTAATCTCAACTTGATCACAGCCTCAACTTTTTTATTTTCAAATTCAACTTCATGATCACTTCTAATGGATATAATATATAACTCTCTTTCACTCTAAATTCATTTCATAAATTTAATAAGCTCTATAACTGTATCACTTTTATTAGTAAGATATGAACTAATGGGTGTGAATTATTCAAATAAATTCATATGTAGCAACTCTAACGGTCTCATGTGAGAATTTGAATCTTAGCTATAAAGGATGTATGGGTCTACTTTCTTAGCTTTTAGTCAACACCTATCTAATCCTTAAGAAAATTAAGTCTGGGTAAACCTACAACCAATTCTTAGACAGTTTAGACAATATATGAAAACTACAATAACAAAATTGCATATGCCATAGCTAAAGATCATCATAAAAAAGCTTCAAGCATTTAATATTACTGGGCATTCAACATATTAGTTCAAATACCTACATCTAATACAACAAATGTCATATAACAATTTAATCAAACATTGGGAAGTTGTGAATTGCATTTCATGCTCATTACCACATAAATGGTTATTGCTAATCAAATTATGCTTTAATCCATCAACAAGTAGGATCTACTTGATGATGTGGGAGCCAACGCCAATGGTTTTGACTTCAATTATCTTATTTTTTATGTTATCTCCTAAAGATATAGCTGACATTACTTGGCTCCAGCAAAGTAAATAATGCCCAGTCTCCTATCATATATCTTGATAATCAGCTATTGAAGCACCATCTGCTTTCATTGGTCCTAGAGTTGAGGTATACCTATAAACTTCAAAGCCTTCTCTTGAGGCCTCATAAAGTATCATAACATCTCTGCAATGGGCTCTCCAAACTTCATCCTAAGGAGTTCATACTCTTATATTAAAATGTTAATTTGCATCCCCCTTACCTATCATGAATTCATATATGATGAACAATGTATCCCATATTTTTTAGCTATTCTAAAATTATAAATCTTTATATAGCCATTATATTTTAAAGTGAAATAAAGAGCATTGTAACCCTTACTATTTAGTAATCCCAATCAAAGTTAAAAAAAGGACTGCTTTTCTATGGGTATAGAAACTTACTTTCCCATCAATAGCAGCAGAAAGAGTTTTATAGCCATTTAGAAAGAGATTCCAACTACACATATCATAACATTGTAAATATATCATCATCCTAATCTTCCAAAAGTCAAAAGGATTTTCATCAAATAGGGGTGCTTGTGCAGTGGAGTGTTTTTTCCTTCACTAATCTTACCAATGGTGTGATAAAAAAATATAATAAAATTTTTTGGAAGGCAAATATGTGTAAATCCCCAAGGATGAATCTTAGTTATGAAGCCAATAATAGTAAAGTTGAGTCTCTGATACCAAATATTGATTTATACATGCCCAAGTTGGGGAGGGTGGTGAATTGCACTTTTGAAAATGTTGCACACCCCTTAAATCTCTTTTTAACAAAAAAAACATCATGATGCTCACAAAAAAAAAAAAAAAAACAATATCAACAAAAGCAATGGTATGAAGTAGAAATAACAAAACAATATATGAACACAGAAAGATTTTATGTGGTTCAGTTGCTGCCACATTCATGCCTAAGTGTTGCTGCTGCCACATTCATGCCTAGGTGTCCTTAACACTTAAGATTTTCTGCAAAACCTTCTCTAAATAAAATCATTACTCTGATAAGTAGAGAAGTTTTTACACCAACCATCCCTCCAGGATATCCTCCTATTTCACCGAGATAACCTACTCTTTCATAGGGACAATCTCCAGTATTCTCTTCTAGAACACTTCAAAGCAATACAACAATTAAATAGAAATCAACAAATACAAGAGAGAAACGAGCTTTTACATGTGAATTTTTTTAAAAAAGTGAACTTTTAAAAGCACGAAGAAGTCATGCAAATCAAACCTTGAAAATCAAGATCATGACAATCAAGTTTTCAATCTCTCTAAAAAAATTACAAGAAAACTCTCTTAGAGACTGTTTGGTTGGCTAAAAATGAATGCAATGTAGAAGGAATATAGTGTAAAAGGAATAATTTGAAGTTATTTGGATGAGTGTAAAGTAAATGCATGTGATTTTTTTTTTTTGAAATAAAATAAATGTTATGTAAAGTCTAGAAATGATGACAGCGGGTGGTCGCCGGCAAGGGGCTGTGAGGGTTGACAATAGTGTTGGCTTGGGCTAGCCAGCGGATGCTTGCCGACTTTGGGTGTTGGCAGTAGCTGGCGGCATTGACGGCCGATGGTGGTGGCGATGGTGGCTGACAAGTGGCAACAATTGTAGCTGACAGCGGGTGGCGTCGGCCAGTAGTGGGTGGTGGCGACGACAGTTGGTGGCTAGTAGGTGGCAGCGGAAGATGGTGGTGATGGTTGATGGTGATGGGTGGCGACAGGTGATGGCGGCAATCAAGCGAGCTTCCTTGCAATGTAAATGGTTCTCACTTAAAATTAGCATACTTTAGTTTACTTCAAAAAAGAAGTACAATGGTTTACACTACATTTACTTTACTTTGCATTCATTTTCATCCAACGAAACACTAATATTTTCAAAACCCCTACAATTTGGGATACTTTACAACCACTTTACTTCCAACAAAATAACCCCTTAAAAAATCTTGCAATAGAAGTTGGTGGCTAAGTTTCTCAAAGGTAGCTAGGATTTGAATTAAAAGCAATTTGATTAACCTAGGTTTAATATTGTTGTTTATATTTAAGACTTAGGGATTCTAAACATTCAATAAATTAATTAGAAGAAATAAATTCTTGTATCTACTAGCTCTCAGCGTTTAATAATGGGAGATAATCTAGAATTAATTAGATTCTAAATGGTTAAAATATGCCAATAAAATCTTCAAGAATTTTACATACGTAGAGACCCACAAAATTTTACATAGGCTCTTGCAAATATTAGCAATGGCCCGCAAACATTTGCAAAAAAACTATAATATTTAAATTTCAAACCTAAAAAATCTATATCTTTATATAGTTCCGCAAACCTTTATAATTCCCGAAAAAGCTTCGTGACAAGCTGCTAACATTTTTAGAAGTCTGTTAAGCCTGCATTATGTGTTATTTTAGGGGGATTTATGTACATACTACTTTATATCATGCTATTTACTTATCTAATACTCAATACTTTAATATTTCATGTCAACTACCCATAAACAACTTTAATATCAAATATGTTACTTCTATATTTCATTCTTATCACATATATCACCCTATAAACTTTAATATCTCATTCTTTCCACTCATATTTGATCTATAGGTGATAGGCATAGAATATTAAAATTTTGGGCGTTAGATATGTATATAGCATGATATAAAGAGGTAGGTATGTAAATCCCCCATTTTAATATTATTTTTCTTAAATATATTTAGGGTCTTTTTCACTAAAATATCTATTTAATTTATTATAATAGGATCTTAAAAATATTTAAAAATAATTTGGCTGTGAAGATAACTCTTTTACGAGTGTCAATAAATAACAACCTAATTTCAATTATAAGGATTATGTCAAACTTTCTAACTTGCTTGCCTTGTATTTCTTCAATATTTTTGTTATGATTTGCTCTTAAACATAGAAGAGCAACTCATTTTTCTAGTCTATTTATGCTTATTTTTCTATGCTTTAAATATATTGATGGTGTACCTATTTCTTATATACATTAGATTGAAATCATTAGTTATATTTCCTTGGTGATATTATAATAATCAAAATCTAATCACAATCTTAAGGCTCATGGGGTCAACATAAACACTAGTTTCAACTAGTTTAAACAAGGATCAAATCTAATATTAAAATTTTGAGCCTTATTTAGCGTCCTTCGAATCTAGTTTATATCTAATGGTTGATTCAGGTTTGAAACTGATGTTAAACCCCAAATTATATGTTGAAAGGCATTCAAAGTTCTTTTTTGAACATGGGATTCTCCTTCTATTATTTCTAGTAAATCTTAAGATTGTCAGCATTGAAAGTGAAGATGAATGCAGTTAGATTTTCTTTGTTTTATTTTGAATATTAAACTCTCAGTAGATATTCTTTGTTTGGTAATTCCATAAAAACTCTATTGAAAAGACAGCGCACTGTCATCATCTATGCAGGCTCTATTACTTAATGATGTTGACCTTCTTTCCTTGGATTGGTAACAAATGCAAATTTTACAGCTCTCTGAGTATGATGTTGTTTGTTCAGTGGTTAGTCAAAGCCCCAAGAGGAATTTACTAATTAAAAGCTTAAATGAATTAATTAAAGAAGCATGCTTGTCAAACAAATGGTTAACTTCCTTGATTATTATTCATCTCTATGCTTAATTGTTATAATAGCTCAGCATATAAATGAATTTATTCAAGTAAATGCCTGTTTTCACTTGTGCCACTGAACATGTCATTGTTTATCTAGTCCATTTAAGCTTCATGTATTTTGGTAATTTACATTCTACTTAATTTAATTATTTCACATAAAGCTTATTTTCATACCCACATTATCCATTTGATTTATCCATATTTTCTTTCAACATTTTATTATAATGAAGAAAACTGATTGAAAAAAAAAACAAACAAAATTTTACTCCTCATCTTTTAATATTAATGTGAATTAAAATAGTTTTATCATAAAAATATCATGAGGACAAGCTTAAAAATAAATAATAAATAAGTCAAAATAAAAAATAATAATAAATAAATATTATTACACATACTACTTCTACTTCAATTATTTTAAAATTTTAATAGTCCACAAAATAAGCCAATTAAAAAAAATTGCCATTAATTTCTTCACTGGATTAACATAATCTAACAAGAAACAAAACTGTGCCGAAAAAAATTAGAAGGCTATTAGAGAAGGGGTGAGTAGAAAAGGAAAACTAAGCAGGACTAACAGATGCCTCTTACAGAAACCAAAACTAATCTTAACTGGGATTCGATGCTAACCTTCCTTCAGGGCACAAAAAAATTGCTGCTACTGCGACAAAGGTGTGAGCGACGAATGAATCGGTCAAAAAGAGCGCAAGAAGATGCATCATCATCTGAAGTTGCAGCACTGGGCTCGACCTCGAGCTAGTTTATCCCATAGACAGATCATTTGCCTCGGAGATTGGTAATGTGAAGTGTAATAGTTATCCATGCAGCCATACTGGCAGAACTTCCAGTTGTGTGAGTATTGGACGGGGGTGGAAGCATTGAACTCCTGAACCCACATCCCCATACTTACATCTTCCATCTTGAACATCTGCATTAACTTGACAGAAGTAGACAACACGTTAAGAAATGTAATTGTATATGATCAACAAGATATTGATAATTTTGTGGCTAAAGAACATACCCTTAAGGTCTGATTGGCGTGTTTAGCAATGATAAACCTTGCAATGTCGCTTGATATTACATAGCCAGGTCCATTGGCGTATGGAGGATATATATCCTCTGGCCATTCCTGCATTTAGTCGGATAGGCAAAGTGTAATAGTTATATCAACAGAGAATACTTATTTTTCATAACCTCTTATGTTAGCCAAATCTCTGTTAGACAAGTCTGTTGGACCGGTTCAGCCGGTCCACGTGGGAGATCGATCCTCCTCTCGAATAGAGGATCAATTGTATCTTGTCATTTTTCGTTTCCCTTTTATCAAATAATACAAATCATCTACTGTTTTTGTGATTTTGTGCGGCTTTTTGAGGAGAATTCTAGCTGTTTTCCAAAGATTGATAGGAAATACTTGACATCTACAAGTGTTTCCTATCAATCTCCTAAGTTTGAAGCAAGGAACTGGATTACTAACCTCATATGTTACTGCCCACTTTCCATTCCGGAGGGGTCTATGCAAGAGGTTAAGATTACCCATGTAAAGGGGTTTCTTGCCAGCAGCATTATTCATCTCTCTAAGGACAACATCTAGTCTAATAAATGTGTCATCATCACATTTCATAATATATGCAGCAGTCAGGTTTTTTACCTGCAAAATGAAGGCAACTCAGTTATACAAAGTAACCAAAATGTCAAAAGTTTTCGCACATCTTAAACACTTGTACTTGACCCTTAAAGAAAGATAAGAACTTAGAAGGGATATATATCTTACCCCAAACTCACAAATAGCAACAGTTTTTAGAACCACTAGCTCATAGCGATCCATAAAGGGTAAGATGACGATGTCTCCAAAATATTCTGCCTCCCTCTTTAGAACTACATTAACCTCCTTCCTTGGACTCTGTAAATGAAGTTTAAAGAAGGCATGAGAATCAACATATTCTAAACCAACTGGAGAAAGTGTATTCTTTACAATCAAGTTTATTTGAATCTTGGCAAGCAGTTAATATTTATTTCCTAACTAGACGCCAAATTATCTTAGTCTACCCTTTCTTTCAACATATTCCATATTAATTCTATCTCCCATATCTTATTGGTCCTCATGCTCTCCTTTGCACTTGCACAAATCACTCAAGTCTAATTTTAATGTCCTTGACTTTAATAGATTCTACGTTCACAATATCTTAATACCATCACTTCAAGCTTCTTCTTAATTTTAAGTCAACCTCAACCTTCTCCTTTCTATCAAAGATAAACTTGATTGTCCCTGACTTCTTGGGTTTTACAACACTCAAATGCATACAATATATTAGGAGTTAATATCATCATACCTTATACATTTTAATGATATTTTTTTAATATATAATACACTTGAGACACTTTGTTTTAACCACCAAAGTTTAATATCAGTTACATTAGTGGTTCTCTATCGAATGATCTTGTCTGCACTCCAATTCATATAAATGTCATAGGAGTAATAGTGGATCAACAAATCGCCATCTGGGTCAAGGTTTACTCCATGTTGAGCACATTATGAAGTTTGCATTACCAAAATCACAATCAATAACAATCATAATCATATATATAAATATAATTGAATCCAGCATGTATATATGCACCAGCCATGCCAACCTTTTTATAAATAACCAGAACCAATTATCTTGTGAGCCCCAATCAAATTGAGCAGCAGCCAACTCAGCGAGGCCCGCTCCTCTTTCATAAGGGGGAACATACCCATATTTGTTAGGAGGTAAAGAGGAGGTCCCCTCACCCTTCATAAATATGAGAGTTGAAGAGTTGAGAACATGTGACGTGAGCTTTGAAGTGATAAAAGCTATGATGCACAGATACGGACATGGCAACATGGATACGACATGACAAGGACATAAGATACCTCAATTATTAAAAATATAGGATACGGACACGGATTAGACATGATATTATAATTTTTATATTTTAAAAATAGTTTATAAAAATTAAATAAGTATAATATTGAAAATAATTTAGAAATAATAAGTCATTTAATTAAAATTTGTGCTTAAATTGATTAATATTAGGATGTCGAGAGTCGGACATCAATGACGTGTATCAAGCATCGAGAGAGGAGATGACAATGTTGTCGAGAGCCAGGCATTGATGTTATGCAATAAGTATAGGGCGTCGATGTAGAGGGAGCATCTATCATCGATGTTAAGAGGGCGTGAGCATTGATGTTAAGATGACGTCGGACAAAGATGAGCTATCAAGTTATGGGTGTAGAAATTGCTAGCGTTAAGCATCAATGTACAGACAATGTCAGACTTTGATGTTGAGATGATTTGAAATATCGATGTTGTAACAACGTCAGACATCAATGTTAAGATGACATCAGATATTTTTTGTGAAACCAAAGTCGTGATCTGCCAAAGAGAAATGAAAATGAGAATATTCGATAAATGGTGTTGTAGTGAGGAAATAAGAAATTTAATTTTTATATTTTAAATAAATAAAAAATTTAAATATAGAAAATTATATTTAAAAAATCATAAAATATTTAAGACATGCGTGTCCAATTTATTTTTAATATTTTTAATCAGACACATTTTTAGCGTGTCATGTCAGATACGTATAGAACACTACATGCCTCTTTGAGAAGAAGTGTTGAAGCATCATAAGATAACAATGAATGCTTGCCAAAATGCTAAGCTCCAGCGGCCCTTGCAATGATGGGCGATGAGAACCATCTACTCTCCTTTGCCCGTTTTTAATACCTACAAGTCTTTAATAAGAACTTCATTAACTGTAACCATGAAGTCACAAGCTTTGACTGGCGGCGCACTAATAAGCAATGGAAAGATTCCCTCAACTTGGATGCCTCGACCACCATCTATGCACGCATTTTCTGACATGATGGAAGTCTCCTATATAGCCTCAGTTCCTTGCTCTTGACATGTTAGATAGTTAGGCTTGCTTATTCTCCACTCAGTAGGAACTACACAAATCCATTGCCAGAATTTTTGATGAAATCCCAAATGGATAAATCTCTGCATTGCAGTGTGCGGGCATCATGAAAGCACTATCAGATTGCACTTAGGACGGCATGAACATGGAAAAAAATAACCTAAAACAAGATCCAAATACCACAATCTAGCACGCACTTAGACAAGTACAAGTACCCATCGTCAATGCCGAGAGAGACAGAAAAAATATGGATAGGAGCAATTTTGTTGAGAATGTGAGAGAACAACTCCAATCACCTCCTCCAGCTTTACAGCGCCCACACACACACACAAAAAAAACATTATAAGAAATGTAAAACAAATGTGTAAAAAGGCGGATCAACCAGGTATACATGCCTAAAAGCCTCAATCGTGCAAATGCCCTGCTCAAATAAGAAATCTAAGAGCACACGCATTTGCTAAAGTAGTAGTTACTTTAAGTTTATTTTTTATTTATTGGTGTTTCTACTTCATTAATATACTTTTGTTATGGATGCTATTAATGCAATGAAATGTTTACTTTCTATTGCTTACTCTTACACCTACTGCTCATAATTACTAGTGTATGAATTTTCTTCTTGTATGTATAAAATAGGTTTGAATCAACCTTGACCTTCTAAGTTTACTTCAAGGTTGATGTTAATCACTCCATCCCATCCAGCATTGTTGGAGTGTATCATTTTTCAGACTCGGGGTGTAACACTGTATCAGCTCAAAATTAGCTCATTCTCAACCTTAGGCCTAAATGAAATTAGCACAAAAAGTGTGATTAGCTCAATCACCAATGGTGCCTATCGTTTTTGATAGCACCAACTCCCAAACTTTCATACTTCATCCCAATAATTATGCTATCATAACATTATTATCTATGCTACAAAACTAATTTAGAAAGTTCAAAATTTTCAAAGAACGAAATTGTTCCAGGGTCCATTGCCTACCATATCTAAACTTTAATGGATTATTTTTTAGTAAAATTTCATCAAATCAATTATTTAGATACATATCAATATCATGGCCTTCACTTTGTCAGAACATTACTCCCAGAACTTGAAGTTGAAACTGATCATGTGAATGTAATGATTAAAATGATTAAGGTGGAGTGAAGGCCATTTTTCAATTATTTCCTACCAAAATGGAATGGGAAATTTCATTCGGGAAACTACTCAACCCCCTTAGGCATAACGAAAGTAGACTCCTACATTTACCACTGAAAGAAGTACATCCTGTTCCTGCTGAGGTGCCATTTTATGGAATGAAATCTAATACTTCGGTTGGGATGGCTTTCTTACTACTTCTTTAAACAACTTTTTAGTAAAAAAGTAAAAAGTTTTAACTAAAAATCTGCTTTAAGAAGCAGTAAGAAAGTCATCTCAAACAAAACCTAAATATGTGCTCCATCCATTATTTAGCTGCTAAATACATGGAGCACTGACATGTAAAAAGTACAAGAAAGCTTACCAGGGCAACAAAGAACCGGGCCACAACATTTGACAACTTGATGGCAGAATATTGCATCCAGGTTTTTCTAACAGCCATGCGTTCTGCAAAATGATTGGTGGCAGAGAGAATACCGATGAAAAGCTCAACTGGTTGTTGTGGAAGAGGACCAGACTTCCATGCTTCTGAAAGTTCCAAGACTTGCTGACGTGAAAAACTAGGATGAGATTTGGGAAGAGAAGTGGCAAATACTGAATGTACGTCTACATTTCCTTTAATCGCTAAACCTGTAGCATCTTCGAGAGTAAACCCCTGGGAAGAGAAGTGCAAATACAACAAAGATATTAATTTTGCCATAAACCAAAAATTGCAAATATCTCAACAGAAAAAAAAAACAAGAGAACACTAAAAAAGAATGGGAAAATATACCGTTCTATAAGGGAATGAAGTTACATGTCTGCCTCCAACAAAAATGTGATATCCTTCTATGCCAGCACGAACTGTCAGGACAAACAACCTGCCCTCCACAAAAGAAAAAGGCCATGTCATTTCTGGCTTCTTTGCACGACCAATGAATCTCTTCAACCACGAAGTCGTTTTGGATTCTTTTGAATCAACAATATCAGTTCGTAACCATTTCTCACATTTGTTGAATCCATCAACTGCCCAAAAGGACTGGAAATTATACATTTTTAACTTCAAAAAAAAGTGTAACAGAAATTTTGAGATGTGCACCAACGTAACCACATAAAGCTACAAAATGCCAATATAGAAAGATATGAATTTATAGCCCTATATTTTATGTTCTTAATGAATGCATGAGTCACAAACATATCCACATAAAGCTACAAAAGGTCAATATAGAAAGATATGAATTTATAGCCCTATATTTTATGTTCTTAATGAATGCATGAGTGGCAGTTCCTTTTATTTTGCTATCAAAAATGAGAATACCTGAGCTCTAAATCAGAAGGTCGATAGGATCCTTTCCTGTCACATAAGTCCATAGAACATACATAAACATGAATGTAACAAAACACAAACCAAAAAAATAAGATGACAATTGCTTTGCAGAAATAAAATAATAGGTAGTTAGCCGACATTGGCCAACCATCTCACTAGCTAAGGCCTCGTTTGGTGGCAGAACTCTTTTCATAAAATTTTGATGAGAAACAATTGTTTTGTAAAGGTCTTTTAAAAGCTTTGAAATCGGTAAGATAATGAGGGTTTAAAAAACACAACTTTACAAAAAATAGGCTTCCGAACAGCGACCGAAAGTATTTTCACGTTTTGAAACGAAAACGACGCTAATTAAGCCGTCCCAAACTAGGCCTAAAGCAATTTAGTGAATGCACATACACTTAGAAATATTGCCTGCACCAACAGGAGATGGCCACTTCAATAACAGTGTTGACCTCGTTTTTTGCCCGAGTGCCCTCGAGGGTCTTTGAGCAATTTAATTGGACCTCGTCGAGTTCAATTCGGGCTCGAACCGACTCGAATTCAGTCGAATTGGGCTCGACTGTGTTTAATTAGACTTGATTAGTTTGCTTTAGTCGCACCGTACTTGATTTGATTTAAATCGATTATTATTTTAAACCCAATTTCACGCGATCAAATTTATTGACCCGGCTCAAACCCAAATTGACTCGAATTGAGTCAAATCTGGACTCGAGTCAAGCCGGATTTAGCCCAATTCAATTTAATTAAAGTCCATCCGACTTTATTAATAATTTGAATTGATTTTCTATATCAGTAAATTACATCGACGACTGCGATTGCATGAAATCTTCGTTTCGGCCCTAAATCCCACACTTCAGCGATCCTCTACGATTCGAGCAGACATCGAGCAGTGAGCGAGCTTCTTCTGGGATGATTTCGAAAGCCAAAGCGAGACGACGAGAGGCGGGCTTCTGCTTTCGACAAAGAAGTTTTGTTTTACCCGAAAACGAAGCTCCGAGCTGGGCATTGACGCTCGGGCTCTCTCTCTCTCTCGGTTTTCCCTCAACCCGAGCTCTCTCTCCCTCTCACACCTTCTCCCTCTCTCGGTTCTCTCATTCGCGCCCAACCCCCTCCCCCTTGTTCACGACTCCAACCCCAGCCAGGCCGACGACTCCCCCGCATCTCCTCTGTTCGGACCGAACCTTAGCCGTGCCCGACGAGATTCAGTCGCCGGAATCCTTGCCTTGGCCGACCAATCTCTTTCAATAACTGCAGGTAATCTTCGCCTTTGCTCCTCTACCTCTTCCTCTACTCTTTCATTCTCCTCTCCTTCTCATTTTCTCTCAGTTTTTTTTTTTCCTTTTCTTCTCCTTGTTTTATTCCTTTCCCCTCTTCTCCTCCAAGAGTGACAATGGTTGAATGATTAGCTTGCAAGATAGATGTGCGTAAGGCTTATTCTTCTCAGTTGCAGTAAAATTTCTGTAGGTTTTGTGAGCTGAGCATTTCCTACTCTATATTTATTTCATTCAGGAAGATAAGCCATGTGATTTTTGTGAGTTTTGAATGTGCCCTATAGCAAGGGCTATGTTGTTCAGGTTTTTTTTTTTCTCTTACACAAAATATGTAGAAATTTATACTTCTTAATGGTTCGGCATGAGGGATTTGCCCTTGATTCATGAAGCTTTAGGTGTGAATGGTGCCAAGTTAGAAGAAATCTTATTAATCCCTTGTCAAAGCATGCACATGGGTGTTTGTAGAAATACCCCATTGGAAATTATATAAGTGTTTGCTCAAAAGGAAGTGTCAAGCTAGTGTGGTGCTACTTTGCTCAAACACCCTGATTTTATTTGATCTTGTTGTCTCTATATGAAAGTCATGATTAGATGATATGATTATATTTTCTTGCTCTTGTTTGCGATAAAAGAAGTTTAGCTAGCATTGAAGATTTCATGAATCATAATTGTTGTAGCATCTACACTAATGCTTTAGTCTTACGATTGGCCTCCATTATCTCACGACGCAACCCTTTCTTCTTTTACTTTTTCTTGAGCATATGCCTCCTTTCATTATGAAATTAAGTATCATGTTGAATGTTATCTTCTCTGGCTTGTTATGCCAACGTATTGGAGAATGTGGTGTTTATTAGTAAATACACTTGTGATAGTTATATTAACTTTGGCAAGGATGAATATGCTCTATAGTTAGATTCATGTCGTCGAATCATCATTTAAGTATAAAATCTGTAGAAACTTTTTTTTCTGATGTCTATGTTATGGGATGTGAGTCTAATATTTTATATGTGGATTTTGAGAATGATAGTATCCTCCAACAAGTGCGTGGAAGGTGCTCATAGTAAGGCTTACTAAGAGTATGCATATATAAAACTTCAATTGAAGGAGGATATCTTTAGAGCATGCTTGTATCACGTGATCCCTTTAACTCTAGGAAATTTCATAAGCTTGGATTATATGGTCTTACATGGGGATACATGTACACATATCTATGAACGTTTTTTTTTTGTGTTTTGTAAGCTATAGTTGAATCAACACGCATATACTAGTGCTTTGACTTTATTACTATCAGATCAACTTGTTTTATGTCTTGTCATTATGAAAATCTCTTATATTACCTATGGAGTTCGAAAAACTTATTATGCATAATGCGATTGAGTTATAAATATGTTGACAAGTCCATCTTTTATGCAAACAAAAAAAATTCCTTCTTCTCTTTTTTTGGAACTTTTCTCACTGGTTTGGTGGGAAAAGAATGCAGTTTTTTTTAGAAGATATTGTCACTTTTTTTTAGAATGATCACTATAGCATTTGGGTGGATCTTTCATAGCTTCTTTGTGAAAATTGTTACAGCTTTTATGAGACATTTCTCACTGATTTTGTGAAAGAAAAGTGCAGATTTTTTAGAGTTTTATCGCTGTTTTACATAAAAATTCCTATGGCATTTGAGTGAATCATTCCTTGCTTTTTTATGAAAATCGTTACAGTTTTTGTGAATCTTTTCTCACTGTTTTAGTAAGAAACAAGTGCAGATTTTTGTGACTTTTGGCTTCCAAATTATGTTGGGAGTGAGGTATGTGCATATTTTTGCTATTTCGAGATCCCAAATTATTTTGGTAACATGACACATGCAGATTTTCACTGTTTTTAGCCTCTGAATTGATTTGGGAGCGAGATACATGCAGTTTTTTCACTGTTTTTAGCTTCCGGATTGTTTTAGGAGCGAGATACATGCAGTTTTTTCACTGTTTTTAGCTTCCGGATTGTTTTAGGAGTAAATTGTGTGTAAGTTTCTCACTGTTTTGTGCTCTAAATTATTTTAAAGTGAAATTTTGGTTTGCTTATATTATAAAGATTTGTTTTGACATGAGAACGAATTATGAATTTGAATTAGAGAATTACTTGGAAGGGTTGGTGGCATGTAGCATGAAAATACAAATTTGTTGGAACAAAATTCATGTCTAATCTAAATCAAGTGATAAATGAAATGTTTATATCCATGATTAGTGAGTGTTTATATATCTCACACATGCTTAGAATGAAATTATCAAATGCTTTATGAACTCAATGTGTTATTACATATGGTTTTGGAATATTATTCTTACGGTTGAAGAGAATAAGTTGACTCTAAATCTCTCTTTGCTATAAATTTTGGTTCCAACATTAAGTATATATATGTTACCTCATAGAGAAGTTTTATAGTTTGTGGTATATTAAAGAGTTTTATGATTTTGTTTTATTTCGAGGAGATTTGTGAATGGCTTCATGATTGAAAATTTTCTAAATAGCTTTATGCTACGATTTCATAAGCGATCTTCAAAACGAAGGGTGTTGCAAATTTGTTTTACATTTGGTTTCATGTTAAAAGGCTTTGCTAATTATTTTGCATCAAAAAGGTTTCTAAAGAGTTTTGTGAATTATCTTATATTGAGATTTTTGTTGTTTTGTTTTGAAAAGGTTTCTTGATGGAAGACTTTGTAATGCCTAGTCATTGAGAAATTTTCACAAATTACCCCACACCAAATTAAAAGAGGCACTTGATTATTGATTTATTTTGTAGAGTTTTGTGTAAAATGGGATTTTCTTGGTAGATGATTTATATGGGGTTATATGTGGTACTTAGTTTAGAAGTTCTTACAAGTCACTTTGGAATCTATAACTAGACTTGTGTAGTAGGGCCTCTTAGTGTCTTTTGGGGAATGATTGATGCTTTCCCATTTGAGTTAGATTCTCATAGTGTTTCTTTCTAATTTTTGGGATTTGAAACATTATAGAGTTTTATGTTGAAAGATCTTTAGTGTCTTTTTGGAGTGAGATAGTCCTTACTTATTTGGATTTTCTTCCTTTAGTGTTAGCTTCTGATGATAAAAAATATGAAATTTTGGATAGATATAAAATAAAAGAGACTTATTTTAAATTTAGTGTTAGGACTTGTTTCCCTTAATTGTTTTGGGCTTGCTTTAGACTGTAGTGTAGGTTGATGTTTCAAACATATCAAATGCCTTATTTGGAATGCGGGGACAGCAAAGGACATTGTAAATGTTGCTTTAGGGTACACTTGACTTCAAAGAAGTGTGTCCAATAACAACAATGCCTACATCCCTTTTGTATTCTATTTTCATTCTTTTTCACTGCATTTAGTTGTCTTTCACTTCGTCTTTAGTTTGTTTCCTGTCGTTTCTTTTATACTGTGATGTTGGACACTTGCA